TTTTAAACCCTTCCCACACTCTTGCAATATTCTAACCAATGTTTCTAAACTCTAAATGCTCTAAAAGAGCACAGAATATCATGACATCAGCTCCCTGCCTCCTCTGCTCTTTGCCTCCTGCAAGTGCTCTTGGCCACGCCTACTTCTCCGCTCTGCACAGAAATCAGCTGATCAGCTGCAGCAGAAAGTTTATCCGGCAGTATGGGCTGCACAAAAGGTGCAACAGGTGCTAAATAATTTTAAATAATTCATTTTAAATAAAAATTTCATGCCAGTCGTGCGGCTCATCCATCAATCAGCCAATTGTGTGTCATGTCCAATCTTATTTTGAAAAACCGCGATAGAGTGAGTCCGCAATAAACGGAACTGCGAAGTAGCGAGGGACTACTAAGAACTGAACAAATTACTCCAAATTAATTGTGTTAAATGGGAGAAACGCCTGGCTCAAATCATTTTAATAAATATAAACTAAAAAATTGCATGCATGTGTATTTATTTCAGTATAAAATATAATCCTGTAATCCTGTTTAAGACAAGTCAAAAACAGAATCTTGTGATGCATGCTCAATAATCCTGGTAAAAAAAAAATCTAAAAGTTAAATCAGGTCCTCTGGATGGATTAAAAAACAAAAAACAAAAAAAAATTAAAAACATGTTGCAATCCTTACAATGCTGTTATTGCTAATATCACTCAGCCCCCTGTGAATAACAAGTGGCCTTCAGGGCACTAACGATCCATCGTTAGGCTGATGGTCCTCCTGGATCATGCGAACAGCTAGTTCTGGTTGTCAACAACAAACTGGTTGATCCACTATGAGAAGGTGCTATTTATTAGACTGAGTTTATTACAGCTCCTCAGACTGAAGAAGTCTTCTGGATAAAAGAAGAAATGTTTCAACAAGTTTTTAATTTTTAATTTGATTTTTATTGTTTTTGTTTTTTTGTTAGTTTTTTTTTTTTTTATCCAGAGGACCCTTATTTAACTTTGTTAGATGAAAAACTGAATTAAAAAATAGACCTAATGCTTCTACTGTTTTAATGCTAATTAAAGTAACTTTGTCTTTTAGAAAAAGTACAATTTATGATAAAATGTTTTTTTGTTTGTTTTTCTTTTCCCAGCCCGCAGCTTCAATATTCAGAAATCTGAGGCCATGATCAGAAAGGTAAATGTTTTGTTCTTCACATGGTGACTTCTCTGTTTCACACTAAGTTCTGGACATTCAGATTTATTTTTATTTTATTTTTTTTTACATTTTATTCTCACTTACGATACATTTCTCCTGCATGATGTTTCCATGTAAACCATTTTACTTTCAGTGCATTTATTTTACAAGTATTGTTTACTTTATTGATTTTTCCTAACAGGATGAGTTTATATAATTATGGTCCAGGGTAATGATTAATCTCACATTTTAGACCTTTGGCATCTGACAGAGGATCTGCAAATAAACATGACATGTTTGAACAATACATTAAATGTAAAGATTAAAGTCTAAAAAATAAATCTTCTCTTTGCTGATAGATTTTTGGGAAACCTCAGAGCTTCTGATGAGGAACCAGTGAGTTAACAGGTTTAAAACCATGTTAAGAAAATATCGGATGTTTTATTGTTTATTGAGTGTTGGTGTAAAAATAAGTGCCAAGTCTTCGGGCGACTTAGTTCGCTGTGGCGACCCCTGACGAAGGGAGCTGCCAAAATAAATAAATAGATAAAATAAATAGATTTTCATTCCAAGAAAAATAATAATAATCTTGAATCTCAACATGTTAGTTAATTTTTAACAGTCAAAAAAGGCAGTTTTTGTAGAATTAAAACAACAAGGATGAGATATTAAATCAACTAAATGCATCAAATGAACCACTTCTCTTAAAATATTCTGTCCTTTATTGAATGAAGACACTGAATGCTATGGGGACACTTTTTTTATTTATTTTAACAAACTCTGTTCTGTTTTGCTCCTTGTGCTTTATTTATTTATTTCTATTAATCCATTGCCATCTATGAACAAAATAGGAGCTTCAAATAATTATTACCTTTTACCTTTCAATAACCAGTTTATTGAAGCCAGTTGACACAAATATACAGTATATATTAAAATTTCTCCAAACGTGTATATATATATATATATATATATATATATATATATATATATATA